GCTTATATTCCGAAGCTTCACAGATCCTTAATACTAAGTGTTGCTTGCTTCATACCCAAAATTATAACAATACGGGAAGCGGCGGTGGCGAAAGGTGCCTTTTTTGTCTAACGCTACATCTAAACGAGTGTTTTAATCAACAGAATAAATGTTGCAATTAAACGGGTGATCATCGTGCACTATGTCCCATCATACGTTATAATCGCAAGCGGTACAGGTGCGGGGAAAGGGAGCCTCCTTGTGGGCCACCTCCACTAGGAGGGGACAAAATTAAACATTACGCGATTTCAACGGTTTACAACTGCTACGTTTTAACCGTTGCGTGAACGTGGCACTGGAATGTCTATGGTTTTAATTAAGCACTTTATTATTTTCTTAGATCCTCTCGCAGCCCGCTCGGGTGTTAAGACTTTTTTTTTAGAATAAAACTTACTCTGTGTACCGCGCAAGTATTAATGCTTGCTAATGATGAAATAATTTTAGAAATTTTGCCACCGGCGCACATCGAGATCCCTTCATTTTCAGCGAAATCTCTCTGTTCTACGTTTGTATAAATTACACTTTTCTGTTTTATGAAGTTTGGGGGACTTTTAAGGGGTCTGTGTATGTAATATTTAGATAAAATATAAGTGTCAAGCACGCTCTTTTAATTTTCATTTAGAGATATCTTATTAAAATATTACCCTCGAGTGTAGCAGATGTCCATGGGCGGCGGTATTCACTTAACATCAGGTTCTGCTCCAACTTTTATCATCTATTATTAATATAATTTAATATGTAAATTTATAACCTATTGATATATCATTATTGTACAGAAAATATCATTATTGTACAAGCAAATGAGGTATTGATCCTTCTTTAGAATGGTATCAATTATGGTTTAAATGAAAGAGATTTAGTAAGATGATCTTCATTGATATGTAACGAGTTTTTGTAATATCCGAGCCGTGATAGCTCAGTATTCGTGTGTTCGCTTTGAAGTCAATGTACTCAAGCAAGCTGATTTTAAATCCTAGTGCCAGCCCAAGTAAGAAACAAACGTTGAATATTCTTTTCAATTTAAAGGGCTAATTTCGCACGGTCTTCATGGCGAAGGAATTATTGTGAGGAATAATTCCTAAAAATGTATTTCGCTTTCGGATTTCTACTCTATGTACACAGCAGGCTTTTGCCCAGCGGTGGGACTTATAAAGTATGGTCACTTTATTAAAAGTCATGAGCAACCATGTTTAGTATTAAATAAACTATTTCATACAACACATAATGCACTACAGCAATTAAATTAACAGTTAAGTATGTTTATTTATTTCTTTGCATAATTCTTCAAACCGATTTAAAAAAAAATAACGTAACTCGGAATAATTCTTATAATTAAAAAAATAGGTAAAGATGAAATTAGGACTTAAAACATATCAATGCGTCCATTGACCGTTGTCTGTGTCATAAATGTTAGACGTGATAAAATCCCAAAGATAGTTTTATTCAACAACAAGTTTCTACAATCAAGATCATTATTTGCTTATCGTCTAACCGCGATTAAATATAATACGCAGATTACATAATAAAAGCGTTTTACATTCGCATATTAAAGACACCCACGCCGTAATAAGTGGTGTTTTCATCGTTGTGCGGAGCGAGGTTTCTTATCATCATGCAATTAGACCAGAGAATTAAAGTATATTCTATTCTCTCTTAACTAAAACAACGACAAAATTTCGTGACACAGTAAAAGGCTTAAACAAATAATAGATGAAACTTTATCACGGGTTGTTAGGATAACGATGATGTTATTCGGCTTCTTTTCATAGTAGTTATGTGTTAAAACTAAAATGTACTTGTAAGTTTATATCATGTTTGTTAATTTAAAGTTTTGGTGGTAGGAGTTTCCTACCTTATAAAATTTCAAAAACTTGGTGAAACGTGTACAAAATATATACCGATATTCATTAATAATTAAGCGTCTAAAAATGGAATAGAATCGAGGGAGCAGTTATATAAGACATTAATTATATATGGTACGTCTTACGTTAAATAGATAGAATTATTCTCCCTTGTAGGATTGTTTGTTTGCTTTACAATAACACGAAAGTATCACTTCTTATGTTAATTGGCGATGATAATAATAATAAAGGGCTTTTGTTGCAACTGCTCGCTGAAAAGCTCTCGGTCTCATGTAAATGAGAACAGCGATTGCCATCTTGAAAAATCGATTCAAAGTAAAGTCGGGCGAAAATCAACATAAAAGATAATGGAAAAAAAACCCGGTCAAGTGCGAGTCGTACACACGCACGAAGGGTTCCACACAATTATCTATAAAATCGAAAAAAAACATGTACGTTGCATGCCCCATTTAAATATTTTTTATTCTGTTTTTAGTATTTGCTGTTATAGCGCCAACAGAAATACACGTATGAAGATAAGCCTGTTGAGAAACGGACAGACAGACATTGGAGTAATAGTGTTCCGTTTTACCCTTTGGGTACGGAACCTTGTGAATAAAAGAAAATATATCAGATTGGTGGTCTTTGTATTTTCTCTGCTCATACCTATATATTATATATTTTTTGGTAGTTTTAAAGAAAGAATAATAGCATAAAATCTGCAGTAGAAGAGGAAGTTTTCAGCCAAGAGCCATTTCTATTCTCCTTGGGCCACAATGTGTTGTTACATTATTTTGATATAATGAGTTCAACTAAAATAATTCTTTTTTCTGATATAAAAAAACGCGAATTGCTAGCAGGTGTGATTCTTATAAAAAATATAATATCAAAAGAGACCTCTTATTTTCCGGATATTAGCATATTCGTAACAACCTCGGCTTTATTAGCAATCGGTAGGTAATTATGCTTTGATTCGCTAGCTTCAATGTAATTAATTTGTTAATTATAATGTTCTTCTTAGCACGTTGACTACAAAATTATAATGTTATAAGCTTTTACACTGTAACGATATTCAATTAGAAGGTTTGATCTTTTTTTGTCCAATTAAAACTCCGTTTTATACATTGCGAGTGACCTTTATGTCACGAAGGTTAGACGAAGTTCACCTTTTTGTCAGTTGAGAGAAGAAACCATATGTGTGTAATCCAAAAAGATCCGTTTAAATGAGAGTAAAAAAATATTCCTTAGACTGAATTATGCTGTATTAATTTTCATGAACCAGTTGCCGCCTTAGATCAGTTTTTATCTTAGCAAAGCGGATAATGGTATGATTTCCTTACGGTACAATATATTTGATTTGAAGGAGATTATTACTTCATTAAGTACATATTAATTTTATTTTATTTTATTGATATAAATAAAAATTATACATTATTTCTGTTCTTTCATAGTTAAAACTCTCTGCTTGATAACTTTATAGAAAAATTTGCAAATAGGAATAGAAAAACATTAAATGTTTCTGATCTTTGAATCAAATCCCCATATCCAGCGGCTGTTGATTTCATAATACACTGAACTGTTTTTTCCTCACTTTATTTATTTATTCAAACTTTATGCACACACTAGTCTAGTACAAGGGCCGAAAATGAAATTGGCATTAATGCCAATTTCATTTTCGGCCAGTCAATCTTAGGGTGGTCTAGAGAAATTGAGGTAGGGTAGTTGCAGATATAACGTGTAGGACGATAACAGATTATTCATAAACTAAAAAAAAATGTAAATATAGGTTTATGTAAATTAAGGACATTGTCCATAGTTTGTTAGTATTTGTAAATAACATTGTGACTAAAATCTAGGTGACTAAAATTGTGACTAAATCTAAAATCTAGTGAAAATTAACAAATTGCGAATTATTATTTTGCCAGACCTATAGCAACTGCCACCCAGTGTTGCTGGAACGGACAGTCAGGTCTGTCAGCAATCATTTTCAGAATGCTGTTGCCACTAGTACGAAGGCGCTGCAGCAAAGAGACCGCTGTTTTACGCATAATACACAGTGGAAGCCATCAGTGTGGGCGTCAGCAAACATTTTAGAATTTTAATTTTTAATTTTAGTTATAATTTGGCGAGTGTTCGCCTATTTGGCTTAATTTATCGTGACGTGTCAATGTTATTTAATTTTAACTGCAAAATTTCATTATTTTACTTATCTATTGAATAAAATCAAAATAAGAAAATAGTAAACTTAATAATATTATTAAACTTTATGACGAACGCAGCATACGAAGAACGGAGGGTATATTATTTTTAACACGGCCTGATAAGAGGAAGGTAAATATAGAGGGCATGGAAACTAATGCATTGGTAGCCAGCAGTGCTCATAAGTAGATGCACTTGTTTTTACCTTTTGACGATTTATTTATAAAGATTGTTTAAACGTGTTATTTAGAGAATCTAACAAGCGAAAAGTATATTTCCACCAAACCATTTTGAAAGTTTTTGATATGTTTAGCAATTAAGTTACTTAAAAAAAAGAAAAAATAAATATTTCGGACACATTTCTTTCTTACACGACATTCTCTAGTCCCAAACTAAGCAACGCTTGTACTATGGGTACTAGAAAACTGATAAACCTACTTAAACATACTTTTCTTTTGTAAATAAATACATATTATACATATAAATAAACACCCAGACACTGGAAAAACACGATGTTCAATACTTTTCCAGCAATATTTTTCCAGTAGTGGGGATCGAACCCACACCCTCTGGCGCAGGAGGCAGGGTCACTACTCCCCACGCCAATTGGGTCGTCAATTTCTTACTGACATCTGCCAATAATTAAATAATTACATCATTGTGTGTGTGTGTGTCGTTTAAAATTCTTACAAATTATAAGAAAAATGAATTCATAATTCGCTTCGGTCTCGGGCCCATACGAGACCGTTAACCCGGCTTCAGGAGGGATAGAGTGACCTTCTCTATCCTTCACTGGGGTAACTCTTGTCCGGCGCGTCCACGTCGCGGGGCTGGACACAACTCTCTACAGTAGGCCGGAGAGAGATGATGACCAAGTTCGGATGGGGACCCAGCTCTATGGGGTATAACCTCAACGGTGGAATGGGCGGAGACAGCAGGTGTCGGAACGGCCAGACCAGCGGAGGAGGCGAGCCACAGGGGCGTAGAACCTGGAACCTGATGGAGGGCAGCGGTAGCCATCAGTACCTAAGTGAAGCGCAAAGAGGTTATTTCTGAACCGGTTCATGGTGGAATACTATAGCCACTGAGGTTATAGTACCGCGATGTAGAAAGCAAGGGGAAACTACTACATTATGATCCCATGAGAGCTGTATGATGGACACAAAGAGATGCAGAGCAAGTTTGCCTGGCGATCCGCGTAGCGACCGGCGCCCTGAGCTTTCCGGGGCTGGGGGTGTGAAATTGGTTACCGGCCATGGAGATGTAGGCAACCAGGCGTCACATGGAAAACATACTACTGGAAGGAGCTTAAAGTTAAGAAAATGTCACCTTTTCGGTACATGGAATGTTCGAGGTTTACTTGACAAACCTAAGCTTCCAATGTTAGAGAAGGAGCTGGAGCGATGCAAATTGGTTTTCACAGGGCTTAGCGAAACACATTGGAAAGGAAACGGGCATTTCAATTGTGAAAAACATACCATCTATTTTTCCGGAAATGATAAAAGTAGTTTTTCTGGAGTGGCAATCGCAATTCCGAATATTTGGAATGGCTCTGTGCTCGGCTACAACCCAATCAGTGATAGAATTATATCGATTAAACTCAGCGCATCACCAACTCCTCTGAATATTTTGCAGGTATATGCCCCCACAAGTTCTTCCCATGATGAGCAAATAGAAGAATTCTACAAAAAGCTTGAATCTTCAATAGCTAACATTCCCAAAAGAGAGCTTTTGCTCATCATGGGAGACTTCAATGCGAAAGTGGGCGATACAACGATGGATGATGGAATTCGAGACATTGTGGGTAAATATGGTCTTGGTGTTAGAAATCCAAGAGGAGAAAGGCTTATAGAATTTTCAGCCAACAACAACTTGACCATCATGAATACTACATTCAAACATCATCCAAGGCGCTTATATACCTGGACATCCCCTGGAGACAATTGTCGTAATCAGATCGACTATATACTTGTAAGATCAAGATGGAGAAGTTCTATTACTAACGCGCACACCTTGCTTGGTGCAGATTGTGGATCTGATCATGAATTACTTGTTGGCAAATTAAGATTAAAACTACAAAGAGTAAGGACCATGAGGCCACAGAAGCGAATGCAAGTAATTGATCAGAGCTCTTTTAAGTCGTCTATTGAAAGCAAACATTCTATCTGGCGGACAGATATCGGGAACAAAGGAAGTGACTCCTTGTGGATATCTGCTAAGAAATGCGTAAAGGGTGCAGTTAAAGAATCGCAACCAAGAAACATATCCGACAAACGACAACATTGGATGACAGCAAACACCTGGCAGTTAGTGGAAGAACGTAGGAAGCTAAAAGCTAAAGGTGTGAGTGTTGCTGAATTGAATTCAAAAACATCAGTAATACAAGCTGCTTGTCGACGTGATCGTAATAACGCATTGGCAAGGATATGTGAAGAACTAGAACGACACTCAGACAGACTACAGACCAAAGATCTTCATGACAAAGTTCGACTCATAACACGCCAGTTGAAACCAAAGACATGGGCAATAGAGAATACCGCAGGCACGACCATCACTGAGATTGAGGACATAGTGAAGGTTTGGAAGGACTATTGCAAATCTCTCTTCACGAAAAAAAAACGACAACAACAGACAACCTATGTACCTCAAATGAAATTGGTGAGCGAGAACCAGGTATTATGCGTGATGAGGTTAGAGCAGCAATACGTCACCTGAAGAGCAATAAAGCCATTGGTGTTGATGACATCCCTATAGAAGTGTTTAAGGCTATGGGGGAAGCCGGTGTGGACATTCTATTTACCATCTGCTGTAAAACTTGGGAAACTGGCCTCTGGCCCGAGCACTGGTCCCATTCTGTATTTATACCCTTGCACAAGAAAGGATCCACCAAAAAATGCAATAACTACCGGCTCATCTCCCTTATATCTCATGCGAGCAAAGTGATGCTCCACATCCTTAACACAAGGTTAAAGGCTTACCTCTCGAACCAAATTGCTCCAGAACAAGCTGGATTCGTGAAGGGAAGAGGCACGCGGGAACAGATTCTCATATTACGGCAGATCATAGAGAAATCAAGGGAGTTCAACAAACCACTCTTCATATGTTTCGTCGACTTTCGAAAGGCATTCGATACGGTCATATGGGAGTGCCTTTGGAAAGTACTGCTGGATATGGGAGTTCCGCGGCATCTTGTTTTTCTTTTGAGGAGGTTATACGAGGATGGCACTGAATGAATGAATGAATGAATGAAATATACTTTATTGTACACAACCAACGGATATTGAAGAATCAACTAAAATAATACAAAACTGTACAATAGGGGGCCTTATCGCTAGGAAGCGATTTCTTCCAGGCAACCTAGTAAAAGGAAATAGTAAAAACAGTAGCATTGGGTAACGGTGTACACTGAATTAATGAGAGAAAGTTATAAGTCAAAATATAAATACATATTAATAAATTATACATAAATACACATGCAAACACGATATATAAATATATACGTTATAAATAATGTATAAGTATTTAGATATAAGTTGACAACATCGAGGAATGGAACACAATGATTAAGGAGGCATAAAATGTTTTCTTAAAAGTCGCTTGAAAATAGGTAGGGATTGTGCCCGCCTAATATGTAGTGGGAGAGAGTTCCAGAGCCGAACAGCTTCCACAGAAAAGGATTTGGAGTAGAAAAATGTACTATGGGGAGGAATTCTGAGGATTAAATTGTCATCGGAGCGGAGAGATCGATCTGGGTGAGAATCACAAAGATACTCAAATCGCTTCTTAAGATAAGGAGGGGTGGTTGGATTGAATAGAACAGAGTATAAGAGCGAAAGAAGGTGAGTATTCCCGCGAAGGCGGATTGGAAGCCACTTGAGCTTATTTCGGAATTCAGAAATGTGGTCATATTTACGAAGTCCAAATATGAACCGTATGCAAAGATTTTGGATGCGCTCAAGTTTATTAAGTTGTTCAACGCTTAAGTCTAAGTAACATGTATCGGCATAATCTAGAATTGGTAAGAGGAGAGATTCCGCGAGCGCAATTTTGGTAGGTATAGGTAAAAAGTAACTCAATCTACGAAGAGAATTAACTGCTGCAAACATCCTTCTACTCACTTCACTAACCTGAGGAACCCAAGAGAGAAATTTATCAAACACAACACCTAGATTTTTAACCGTATCGCTATATTGCAATTGGACCCCGTCAAAAACTATACAAGGAAGATTAGCCCAGTCAATACGTGAAACCAATCTTTGGCTGCCTATAATAATAGCTTGTGTTTTAGATGGATTTACCTTCAGTCCATAAGAATTGCTCCATTCTACAATGGTGTTTAGGTCTTTATTAACTGCATCTATTGTCATGGTTAAATCTGGTAATTTGGATTGAGCGTAGACTTGGAGATCATCAGCATACAGATGGTAGAGAGAAGTTAAATGTTGAGTGATTGAACTAATGAAGATTGAGAATAGGAGAGGAGACAACACGCCACCTTGCGGTACCCCGGCATTTATCGGACTCCAGTCCGAATACTTCTCCTCGATCTTAATCCGTTGCCGGCGCCCGTGCAAGTAACTGTGAAACCAGTCAACGACCTTAGGATATATGTTTAGAGAAGTGAGAATGGCTAAAAGTAGCTCATAATCAACATTATTGAAAGCGTTGCTGAAATCTAGTAAAGTCAATACTGTTACACACTGGTTATCCATACCGAACCGGATATCATCAGTAACTTTTACTAATGCAGTAGTCGTACTATGACCAGAACGGAAACCGGATTGAAACGGATTTAAAAGGTTGGATTTGGAAAGAAATACAGTCAATTGTTTATGAACAATGCGTTCAAAAACTTTTGATAGAAATGGTAAAATGGAAATAGGCCGATAATCAGAGAAACTGGAAGGATTCGTTTTTTTAGGAAGAGGAATTATCTGTGCATCGTTCCAGGAAGTAGGGAAGCAACCGCTATTGATGGAATGATTAAAGATAGACACAATGACAGGAGCTAGAAAATCGAGAAGAGGAGTGATCATTTTACGACTAATGCAGTCAGAACCAACAGCATCAGAGTTAGCTTCCATAATACTTCTCTTAACATCACTGCAGTCGATTTGACTAAATACGAAAGCGGGATCATCAGGGGTGGGTAAAGCTAAAATTTTATTTTTAGTATTCTGTTTTAAGGTACTATCAATAGTACAAAATGAGGAAAAATGCTGATTGAGCTTATTTAAATCGAAGGTACTATAATTTGAAGGACAATTTCTATTTGCTTTCCCAACCCCAAGGGATTTCAGAAATTTCCATACTCTTCCGGAATCTTTTTCCTCGAGTACAGATTTATGGATATGGCGTCGTTGTTCATCTCTACACAATCTGTTGCATCGATTCCGAATGCTTGTGTATTTAATGCGGTTGGTTTCACTGGCGTTGGTTTTATATTTAGCTTTGGCTATATTCTTTTTGTGTTGTAGCGTTTTTATATCCTCAGTTAGCCAAGGAGCAGGAAGATGTTTAATTCTTACTGGGCGTATTGGAGCGTGGGTATCATAAAGCTTCATTAAAAGAGAGTTAAAAATTTCAACCCACTGCACTGCTGCAGTGCGGGTGGATAACGTCCTCTCAGATGCCTTCAAGACTGAGTCCGGTGTTCGACAGGGTTGTATATTGTCACCGTTGCTCTTTAACACCTATACCGAGCATATCATGAGAATCGTTCTGGAAGGTTGGGATAAAGGTGTTTCAGTTGGAGGGCGAGTGATTAATAACCTATGATACGCTGATGATACTACGCTTCTGGCAAGAACAAAAGAAGACTTAGAAGAGCTGCTGGCTCGACTTGAATCCACCAGTGCCAACTTCGGCCTTGCTCTAAATAGAGATAAGACGAAGATCATGATAGTAGACCGGGCTGAGCACAGTACGCAAGGAGTCCCGCGTATAGCAAACTGTGAAGTAGTTCAGAGCTATATTTACCTCGGCTCTACTATATCCAACCTCGGTGGCTCTGAAGACGAGATCAAGCGTCGATGCGCTATCACACGGTCAGCAGTAGAGCGATTAGGGAAGATTTGGAAAGACAGACGTATAACCAAGAATACAAAGGTTCGACTAATTAGATGTCTGGTATTTCCGATCTTTCTGTATGGGGCTGAAACATGGTCGATTAGATTACAGGATCGCCGGAAAATCGATGCCTTGGAGATGTGGTGTTGGAGACGACTGTTGAAAATTCCGTGGACAGCGTTTCGGACAAATATTTCCATCCTCAAAGAACTTCATATACAAAATAGACTTTCGTCGACTGTCCAACTACGAATTCTAAAGTTCTTTGGGCACATCTCTAGAAAGGAAGATTCTATGGAGTGAATTGTCATTCAAGGCCGTGTAGAAGGCAAAAGACCTCGAGGTCTAGCCCCTACGCGCTGGATTGACCTCATCAGCAGCACTACGAAAGCCACCGCAGTACAATGTGCTCGTATTGCTAACAGCCGCCTCCAATGGAGGAACATCGCGAGACGTGCGGTTGCCCTGGAAGCGAACAGCGACGACGAGACGCAATCCTGTCCATCGACAGCCACGACCACTCTGCTAAGAGTGTCCGATTAAGAAGAAGAAAAATTCATAATTCTCTTACGTCAACGTCTAATTTATAAAAAGCGTTAGAAGCTGTATAGCAATGCTTCTAACTCTGGTTAGAAGCATTCCAATATATTCATCGACATTTTTTTTAATAAAAAAATCATATCTTATAAACGGCAAATCATCAGTTGATGCATTCAAACACGATTGCTGCTTTTCCTATTTGATTATATTTGATTTCTTACATAATTATCATATTTGATTTCTTACCACCCATTTTGTGTCTCAAAGCAAACATATCACATTCCTTCCCTTTCTCTACTCCCAGGGTTGACTGGAAGAGAATGCTTATTAGCATTAAGTTTGCCTTTTGTTTAGCCTTAAGTTGAGGTGTAAACAATAAATTTTAAATAAATAAATAAATAAATTCCTTAGAGACTTTTTTAAATTTCATTACGTACAACTAACGGACGCGATTGGGTTGTGTTTCTGCATCGCTGTATATGATTTAATTTACGAAATAGAACAGCAGCACGACATATCTGTATATGAGTTGGGAGTATGGGTCTAATTCCTCATCCATTACGCAACTTTTGTTAGTTACGCCGTGCGGGAAATCCGACGAAATGAGATGGCGCGGATTCTGCTTAGCCCCTTGCACGTCACTGGGCCGGACAAAAGCCGTAGCTGGCCTCCGTAATGCGGCCGTATACGGTGGTGGGTTCGCTAAGGGGTCCGCCCTTTCGCCCGGGCCCTACCCAAGCTGCGCGCGTCGGAATCGGGGTCCCGACACAATTTTCCGGGTGGATGCATTTTGAATTTATAACTAGCAAATTGGTCGTACCAATTTCTAGTTTGAATATCTTCGGGTTAATTGGTCGCCGGCCCCGGCAGCCGTAATGTGCTTAGCGTGCCATCAGTGATATTAAATTTGGAACAAATAGCATTGACACAACTATAAATCGTGTAGCGAGACGCCTTCCTCTCAAATTGAGCACTAGATATGACGTTTAAGTTTGGATACATCGCCACACGAATAATAAACATACTATCAAACAACTAACCTAATCTAAAATTCGAAAATATTTATTTTCCTATTACTAAGATGTTGGTACAACATTATGTATGTATTACTGAATAAAAATTGAATATTGTCATTATTAACTTGATACGTTAGCAATTGCGTAGTTAAAGGCTGTCTAGGATCCTGCTACTTAACTGGTATGTGGTTTATGGGTGACGATGACTACCACCAGGCTACGTAGTCTTTTGCAAGGTTTTCAAAAATATACAGAAAGTGAATATCAAGACTCTTGGGACGTTTAACGTCAAATGTATGTTTGTTAAACGTATAATGTATGTTTTATTTATAATTTATTATTTTATCAAAAGTGAGTTAGATAGAGTTATAAAAATAGCAAAACTGTGAGTAATAGAAAAATGTTAGACAGAGTTGACCTATTTTTATGACGACTTTAGTTAAATGCTCTTCTCAGTTTACACGACAAAAAATCGGACGATTTGACTTACTCGTATTAAGAAGGAACGCTCAAGTCTAAAGCAGTAGTTTTTGTGAAGAATGTTTTGATTTATTACAGATTTCTTCAAATCTTAGTCTCAACATTTTAATTGGTGTATTATTTTTTTTTTTATAATTGAAGTTTTATTTTTATAAATTATTAAATTTTTTTAAGTGTCAGAATGAAAGTGCAGTAATTTAGACTACAAATTTGTAGTCACGAATTGTAATTAACATCGGTTATTCTTTACGTGCAACAAAATCGTGCTCATATATTTGTGCCCTCATTAAGGTTGCAGTTTACTATTAACGGTTATAATTTATAATATTAGCTACGTATCTTTCTGTGTTGGGAAGAAAATTCGCACCAGCCGTTTGCAACAAAACAATTGGTAGTCTATTCTACAATAATAAACGCGAAGGGCTCTATCTATGCCCTGTTCGGCGATCGCCCTAACATAATCACTAAGCCAAACGCCGTCACTCCAGCTTTATTCGGACACCGGCAATCCTTTGGACACACCATCGATTGCAATCACAACGTAATTTAGATTTTATTCTTAAAAGTAAAAAGTGCAAATTCATTTGAAGCTGTTGCATAGCACAGACCTTCGAGGCCTAGCCTATTTGTGTTTTATAACAGCGGAATAAGGTATTAATTGGCTCGTCCAGAGCTGTAATTGATAATTTTCCGCATTCGAAAGTAAAATTGACCAACGCTGATTCGAGGGGGTCGCGATACAATAAACTTGAGCCTAAGCAGTTACAGGGATCGCGTTATAAAAAGTTTTTGTTTATTCCAAACAGTCAGTTTAAAAACAAATGGGCGCTGTTAAACCTCCCATTACTTCTCAGGATCAATTTGAAAGGAAAAAGAAAAAAAGTTAAGAAAAGATAAATGCTATATTGTTACCGAAACGCTGCGCAATTATTGTTATCGCTGAAGTTTAAATCACCTTACTTTGGGGTCCAGTCTTCGTTTATTCAAATCAGCTGAGCTCAATGAAGTACACGTGAACATCCCGAAGAACATTTTTATTAGAGTTCCGTACCCAAAGGGTAAAACGGGACCCTATTACAAAGAATCCGCTGTCTGTCTGTCTGTCGTGTGTCAGCTGAAATTTTCAAAGATGATGTATTTCTGTTGTCGCTTTAACAACAATATTTAAGTGGGGCTCCCATATAACAGACATAATTTTTGTACCGTTTTTAGAGGTAATAAGTACGGAACTATTCCTGCGCGAGTTCGACTCGCACTTGTCCGGCTTTTTCAAAAATAGAATGCATAATTCAGGTTAGTGGCAATTTTTAAACACTTTCAAATGAATTTCGTGAGGAATACCGCGTTAAAGTAATCCGTCCCAAGAAGGTTCACAAATAAGGTTTACAAGTGTTTGTCACACATGTTTCCCTAGACCACCCCGGTGTCTGCTAAGCTCAGCATTTTACATATTTTTTATTGATTTCCCCACGTAACATGTGTTTGCAGATAACACATCGGTTTTAGAGTCGACGAGACGACTCCGATTTCCCATAATTATTTCAATATTTAGAAGAAATAAACGCATTCTTACAAATTTTTATATCAACACAGATTCAACTCGGATTAACACAGAGTTCGTTAACATATCAGTCCAGCCCTTCATTTCTGGACGCTTTAAAGAATCGCAAACGTCGCGAGTTCACAACAAAAACGAACTTCAATAAAATATGTAATCTGCTTCATTATAGTTTGTAAGCAGTTAAAAAGGCTTCGTTGAAGACATGAGCGTCGCATCGTATAGCTTGAAGGGCCTACCGTTTGACAGATCGTGTTTTAAGTAGCCCTGATTTACGTTCACACAAGTCGAATGTCTTGAGACAAGTGGTGGCACAACACTAACGTGATGTTCCAATGTATTTTTAAGGCCGTTTCGTGGATTCCGTGAGCTTAAGGGGCGGTTAACGCAAACGGGACTAAAACGCTTTCGTTTTTTCTTCACTTTCTGCTCTCATCCATAAAATAACATTCCTCCTCGAGTTACGTAAAACTCCGTCTTATCTCAAATTACTTGTCAAGTGAGCGTTTTTTATTCAAATCAAGGTCGGAAGGCAAATGTCTGATAAGCGTCGTTGTGATTACGTTTTTCTGGTCGTCCCATTCTAGAGGCAAGATCACAGAATATTTTAGTTGTTATATAGTAGTAGTACTTAGTTAATCTTAAGTATTAACACGAACATTATTGAATTTTTATGTTATACCTGATCGAACAACTGATTTTCTTATTTGTTGTGTAGTTAAACAGTATCTGGAGTACGGAGCTTTGCTCGGTTTTTTTTGGTGAATCGTGTATTTTGGAAATAAAATAAATAAAAAATAAAGAAAGCTCAAAGAATGATCTGGTATAGAAAAAAAAGGAAAAAGAAAAATAAGTGAGAAAACAGGGATAAAAGGACATTTTCTAAAAATGAAACCAATTTTCCGATTTTTCGCCCCCAAATCTACGCACATACTAAATTTCATACATTTTATATATATATATATATATATATATATATATATATATATATATATATACAAGAATTGCTCGTTTAAAGGTATTAGATACGTAAAACATATCCTTTTTAAATAGTAATTACTTTTTCTTTTGAACGAGGTAGAATGTGGCTCTTTTATTAAATTACGTATGAGTACAATATTGAAGTGGATACCAAAATTTTCAAGATTTTAGTCAATACAATAGAGGATTGGTTAATTCTGTGTTTGTATTAAAACAATCAAGGCGTACCAGCGTACGGCTCGAAGACTTAACAATATTTAAGTCTGTTATGTATAGTATAAATACCGGATAATTCGGTGGCGCCGTGCCTTGGGTTTTATTCCCACATTGGACATATATTTGTGTGACCCACAATTCCGGATCTAGGTGTTTGTTTCCCAAGAAGGGTTGACGTCAGGCAGGCAACCGGTCGTAAAAAAAACATAGCCAGAACCGCATACAACATGACTCACATGTTTTGCCGACCGTACCTAGGTGGGATAAGGGCAGAAGGATGATGATGAGTATAAATACATAGTTAGGATTAGAACATTAACTTCCTAATACAAAAGTTATTGTAAATGATTCACGGTGGTAGGGCCACGCAGCAGCCTCGGCTGTTGCACGAATGGACAGGCTCGTCCGGGTAAGTACCACGACCTCGCAGAAGCCTAAAGTGGAAGAATAATACTTTCGCGTTTCGTCTGGTGAGTGAGGTGGCCGGAGCCCAATTTTCAAAAGGTTGTCAACGCATCTGGAACCCTCGGGTGTAGCAGATGTATATGGGCGGCGGTATTCATTCACTCGGGTGAACCGTCTGCTCGCTTGGCAACTTTTCACATAAAAAAAAAAAAGTTGAAAGTGAAGGTGTAACTTTTTAGCTAAGATATATAAGATGGCCACGCAGTTTTCCCTGTTGCAATTCGGGGAAAACATGCCCTCACAAAAGACCGGTGTCATACTTCTGCGTTTTGTCTGATGAGTGAGGTAACCGGAGATCACTTTATTAAAAATATTGCAACGCATCTGCAACTTTACAGGTGTTGCAAATGTAATTGCACTCCTCACATAAGAAAATAGAACTTCGATTCTCTTTCTAAGTATGATGTAACTGCTCTCAACATTGATAAGCCGACTCTGTCCCGATGCGTTTCAATTAACAAATCCACGTAAATAAATAAACGTGTCGACGTTAATAAAAAAGAATAAAGTACAAGCGGGCCACGATAATAATGAACATCGTACACGGTCCGCATAAACATAATTGCAGCGACCGTGTTCGGCGATAAATCTCTCCGCGCCGTCCAATTGTCCACAAGTAGGTCGTGGGATTGTCGTCCGCCGTTACAGTCCCGTCTCTGCCCGTTTCGGTTTTTCCTCCAGCCTTTCAGATTTTCCTTCTTTTGTGTACTGTATTAAGTTGTTTCACGATGCGATTTAATGGGTGCAAAAGTTTGTTTTGCGTCAGTTAGTTTTGACATTACTATTGTCGCTTGTTACACTTTTTTTCGTCTTGATGCATTGTAATACCTATTGTGTATTAATAAGCTTATTATTACTTATAAACTTATTAGTACGAAACGAAAAAACAATCGGCATCCGCTAATTCAGAGGTAGACCAGCAAAACCGCTGAGTAGTATTGAGTTTGAACATTAAGTAAAACAAAAGCAGTATAATTTATTTGGCGGATGTGATATAGGGAATTTGGTTATGCTCCCAACTGTTTGCTGGATAATATGCAATATTTAATGATATAATTGTGGTTATGTGATAAAA